GTGGCTATCCAGAAATAAATTTATTTAAAGATTGTGCATAATGAATCTTTATTGCACTCCAGCCTCAAGGATTCAAGAAAATTTTATCTAACGTGAAGAAAGGAATTATACATAGCTGGTATGAAAAATATCTATGGTTTGTAATGTCAAATTACAATGAACAGTTCTTCATTTGCACACTAGAGGGCTCTGGAGGCTGTGAAGGGCTACACAGAATTCGTTCTAATGGGAAATGATGTTCTCCAGTAAATTGGTGCATTGGGCTTTCACCAAGTTTAATGTTCACTAAATTGTTTGGCTGTATGCCATAATTAGCCTTATATTCCCTCGATTAGAATCACAAATAGAAATTTGTTAATCTACTTTCTTAGTAGAAAATGTTAGGAAAGTAATTAATTGCTAAAAATGGTTCTGCCTAATGTTTTTATGAAGAATTTTTTTTGTACTTTATTCCAAGCTTTTCCAAGCTTGATAGTATTTTCCATAATTTTGAAAAGAAATGTCAGTTTACACATAAACTGTAAGCAATGTTTTTCTCCTGTTAATAAATAAAATTTTTCTCCTCTTCCAAAGGATTATTTTATGCTTTCATATAGGCAGAAACCTAATTGTTTATTGAATGGAATAAAATATTAAAATTATATCTCTTGTATTTTTCAGGGAATCCGAGCTCGCATTTTAGAAACCCTGGTTATGCTTCTTCTTCTTGCCTTACTGATTCTTGGGATAGTGTGGGTGGCTTCGGCGCTCATTGATAATGATGCTGCAAGTATGGAATCTTTATATGGTACGGATTACTTGTATTAACCAGTTTCTATAATGGAGACTATAGTTTGGAATATAATTACACAATCACTTTAAAGAATATTTTAATGAGCTGCAGTTAGTTCAGTTGGTTAGAGCGTGGTGGTGTAACACCAGGGTAAGGGTTTGGATCCCCACCCCTGCCAGCCACCCCCTCCCTGCCAAAAAATTTAATAATTCTTTGTATGGTCAGCCCTTGATATTAATTTACAGAATTAAGAAGTCTTCAGATATGTTTAAGAAAATAAATGAATTCTTTTGTTTTATATATGCAGAATGAGTAAGCAGCTTGTCAGATTTTTGGTTTTTTTGTTAATTGGTTTCTGTTCTTAAAATTCCAATTCTGTAGAAGCTTTTTTTTTTCTTCCTTTCAAACACGTTTTGCAAAAGAGTTATTTCCTTTTCTTCTATTTTAGATCTTTTTATTGTACAGTTTAGAAATTAAATGGTTAGTAAACTCAAATAGGCAATTATGATGTTTACTATTCATTGATATAGTCAGCCTATATCTTAATATAGGCTGACTGTATCTCAATGTACAGTATTTTAGATTTATTAAAATATATTTACATTTTTTATAGATCTCTGGGAGTTCTATCTACCCTATTTGTATTCCTGTATATCACTGATGGGATGTTTGTTACTTCTTTGTAAGTATTTTTCTGACTTTATATTGATAGGAAAGTAGAGTTCTGTATTCTGGAAAATTTTGGGGAAGTTTTCTGTAGAGATTCCTTAACGACTTGGTGATATTTTTGAGTTGCCCTAACTTTTTTATAGTTCAAGATAAATTTTGGTAAACTGAAACTTTGAAATAATAAGATACTTTTTTTCTCTAAGGAAAACCTCTTTCACTGGATTGTAGAGAGAGGCACGCACACATACACACATACACATATTCTCAAATACTTATGTGCACACACACACTCCCTCCTCTCCACCAACACAATTCTAGATTCTGCTTTTAAATGGAAATAGTAGAATTCTGTATGATGAATTTGTTGTGTTTACTTCAAAATTTTTTCTTTTACTTGAGGTATCACAACCTATTTCAGGTATATTATAAGTAGATAAATGTAGTTCAAAGGACTGAAAGCTATAATTGTCACTTTGAAATTTAATTTGGTCTTTGCTTGGTTTTCTTCAATTTTTTTAAAGCAGAAGTATTTATTATTATCCCACTGCTAGAATCTTGAATATCCTAAGCTGTCTTTCATCTTCACCTACCTCTCACTAAGTGTAGCAGTGCTCATCCTCCTCCCACGGTCCCTTCTAGCTTCCTTACTGCTGTAGTTGAAGAATCCTTTGACAAAACACTGAGAGAATCTAAATCGGAGACAAGAATGTTCTTAATCATTGAATTTGCTTTATTTTTTATGGACTAGTAGTTTCTCTCTCATGCCTCTGAACTACAATTTTTCTCACTGTTGGTGACCTTCTCATTTGTGCAGTGTGTACACCAGTTGGCCTTTCCCGTATGTTCACAGTGATGGGTCAGTTGCTAGTGAAACCAACAGTAAGTATGTCATAAATCATTTGTTTATGAAATAGATATGTTTACATTTGAGCATCTTTTAGATCATTAACTAGCATTTAGACATACAAGAATTTTTGTAGGTTTATCACTCAAATTATTGTTGTTTTTTAAACCTTTTTCATCTTTGGAAACCAAATTTGTTTTTGCTTTTAAAATAATAATTGTAGGCACTTGGGTAAAAATTCATCTAGGAAATTTTAAGACAAAATTTGCAAATATTTATAGGTATTTTGATTGTTTATTGCCTTATATCAAACAGTACCACTGTTGTATTTCAAACTTTGCAAAGCAGTCCTGTTTCTGAAAATTTGTCTGCATATTATATCTTGATTAATTGAATTATACATTGCCTTTAATCTCAGAAATACTATATATTCATTTAAAAATTATTTTCACTTGGTAGTAATTCTAATGATTTGTCCCTAAGTTTCTCTGGTTGCTGTTTTGTTCTCTTTTGTCAAATATTTAATAATGTGAAAATAATTTCTTAGCTGCACTTAGGGAATTTGTAATTTATATTGCTTTCATGAAGGGGACCTTTCTGTTGTTGGGACTGTAATTTGGTGCAGCCATTAAGGAAAACAGAATGGAGGTTTCTCAAACAACTACAGATAGAGCTGCTATATGTTCTAGGAGTTCCACTGCTGGGTATATACCCAAAGGAATGGAAATCATCATGTTGAAGGGATACCTGCACTCCCATGTTTATACAATCCTATTTACAATAGTTAAGATGTGGAACCAACCTAAATGTCCATCGATGGATGACTGGATAAGGAAAATGTGGTATATATACACTATGGAATACTACTCAGCCAAAAAAAGAATGAAATTCTGCCATTTGCAGCAGCATGTTTGAGCTTGGAGAAAATTATGTTACATGAAATAAGCCTAGCACAGAAAAAGTAATACTGCATGTCCTCCCTCATAAGTGGGAGCTAGGAAAGAAAGAAAAAAAGAAAGTGAAAGACAAAACAAAGAAAGAACATAACACATTGAGTGCTGAGAGGGAGAGAACAGAACTGTGGTTACTAGATACGGGAAAGGGAGAGAGAGGGTGGCTAGCGAGAAATTGGACAGTGGACAGAAAGAATGACTACATTTTGTATTGATGAATATCTTAATTATCCTGATGTGATTATCACATATTATACTCAGGTATTGATAGTCAACTCTGTGCCTCACAAACATTTATAATCAATAATGTTTTAAAAAAAAAGGAAAAAAAATTATCTTCATGAATTCTCATTGTCTACAAACGCAAGTGTAAACTACCTACATGTTAAGAGGCCTTTCACAGCCTGCCCACACTGCATTTCCCTCCTGCTAGCCTCCAGGGACTTTGGTTCTAGCCCACCAGCTGACTTGCCATGCTTCAAGTAGGCTCTAGGCTTTCCTTCTCCAGGCATGTCTCTGTCCCTCCAGTGCCTCTTACCTGTTCCACCCACCTGAAGGCCCAGCTCAGAAATCAGTGGTACTTATTACATATCTTTTAGCCTTGCCTTACTTCTTTAAGCAAAAGTAAACTCCTTCCTCTACATTTCTTATATTTCCCTTTGTTTGTGTCTCACTAGGAATACTTACTAAATCATTATGGTTATATGTTTGTCTTCTCTATTGTGATCTATTAAGGACAGACACTGAGGAAATGTTATGGTGCATATTCTTTTAGTAAGTGCTTGCTTAATTTTGAAAGTCATAACCTCTTCATATCTTCTTTTTAAAATAAAATTTTTTACTTACTACATGAGTGTATATACACTCAGATATAACACACATGCTGTCAAATCTTGAAATTGACCTCCCTCTCACGTTTTGTGACACTGCATTCATTTAGTTTATTCCTACTTCTCTGGTTTTTCTTTGGTCTCTTTCTCCATATCTATTTCCTGCCCCTTAAATATAGGCAAATGTTTAAAGTTCTGTCCTTGGTTTAAAGTTTTATTAAGGCTCTGCTCTGTGCTCCTGACTATCTCTGCCACTATTATATCACTTCTAAATGTCTAATTCTAATGAGGAAAAGACAGTGCAAACAAGTTACAGTACATTTTAAGTGCTATAATAGAATACTTCATGGAGCTGAAAGCTTAACATATGTAAAATCAAACTACTTATCTCCCTTCCAAAGCTAATTTTTCTCCCAAACTTGTCTCTTGTTAGTAATATCCTCAAAGCCTTAGTTATCTTTGCCTCTTATCTTTTCTTGTTCTTAACATCCAATAATAATGGGATGTTATTTATTGGGTAATTGAGTATATTCTATATGCTAGTGATAAGTGTGTATTTTATACACATAATTTCATTTCATGGTGGTATCCTTATTTTGTGGGTAAATTAACTTCAGGGAAATTAAATAGCTTGTACAAGGTCACAGATCTGTGTGATGGGGCGGGGGTTGAATTCAGAGGCTGGTTTCAGAGCCCTGGTTCTGCCATTGTGCCACAGTAATAGAACCACTTTCTCACAAGGTAGACTTTATACCTCTCCACCTCTGTTTTTCTTATAGTTTCCTCTGATTATAATGCCTTTCCTCCTTTTGGTAATTTAATCTATCAGGTAACATGCCACTACCATCAAAAACACTGGCCAAAACTTTTTTCCTCACCAATTGGAGGTAATCTTTCTTCCTCTGAACTTTTGTAATGTTTTATTTAAGCCTCAGTTATGACATTTATTTTAATCCTATGATTATTTTTTGAATTCATCTCATCTTTTCTGCTACACTGGAAAATAAGGTGTTTGAAGTCAAGGACTATGTCTTACCCATATTTAAGCCCCATTAGCAAATAGTAGTTATGGACATAAACTTTGAAGGCACATAACTTTTCTTTGTCAAACCCTTGTTTCTGGGGATATAACATGGGAATGATAACAGACTGTTTTTCATAGGTGGCTGTAAGAATCAAGTGGGATGATGCTTGCCAGCACTTAACACAAGTATCTGTGTGCTCCTCAAATTGTCACTCACTCACACTAGGACATACCTGTGGCGATAAGTGATTATTGGACAATTTGTACAGTAAAAGTCTTTTTGTATGTTTTAGACCTTAAGAAAAGCAAACGCTGTTAGTTCTGATCCAAACAGGTAGAAAGTGATGAGAAGCACTGATGGGAAAGAAACTTTGTATCATGGCCAGAGAGATGCGGTCCCCACCTACTCATGTGTGGATTCCGTCTTGGATTACTCCTCCCTAATTCACTGCATCCAGGGTCCTTTTAGTGGACTATTCTTTTTTCTTTCTCTGGACCATCACAGCTCCAGCACATGCCACTTGTTTGTTTCAGCTTCATTGTTGTCTCCTTGGAGAGGTCTCACTGGCTAGCCTGTTTAGGTTTCCCTTTCTACTTTATCCCATCCCTTCATCCCTCATAAGGTGGTCATTCTTTGTCATTATTTATTTGTATACTTACTTATTTATTCTTATTTTATTCTTTATTTCTTCTTCCCTCTCAAGTTTAGGCTTCCCAGGGGTGGAGATGATACGTGTACCCAGTGATAAATTCAGTGCTAGGCCACAGGCGACCAGGCATATTTGTTGAAAGATTGAGAATTTTTGGGTTGCTCTAAATAAAATTTACATAGCCTGTGTAAATTCGATACCTGATGATTTGAGAATTCATTTTCTGAAAATACCTTATCAGGTAGCTGAAAGGATATATAGGGTTTCCATTCCTTTGTTTTGTCCACCAGCTCCTCACAACTTATTATTTTGCTGAGAATGAGTAGTTTGGGTTTGGGTGATCCAGAACATTGATACCAGCTGTGGGCTTCTTTCAGATTTTCTCCAGAGCTAGGAAGATAGTTAGGATCCTCTCACAAAAGGACAGCTATGTTAACAAAGCTAGAATTAAACAAGTGTTAGGTTTATCAGTTTTTAAGACAGTGCAGATAATATCCCATACAATTGGTAATTGATTAGTATGACTGTTTTTCTTTTGAACTACTGTTGTATGGCTTGGTGGTGAGTGGTGTATATGTAAACATACCACTCTCTAGGGTTCTGTTCATTGGATGATTTTGATAATACCGATCTTCAACATGTGTGGAATGTTTTTAGTATATAAAGATGATATAAATGGAAAGTATTGCATGTTACTGATATAGTCTATGGATTTCTTGTTTTAGATATTGTGCAGGTAAATATAAATGAGAAAACAAATGTTGGACTGGGTGATCTATTGCTTCTAGCTCTAAAATCTTGGCTCAGGCATAGAGATATTTACTGTATTTAGGTTTCTGATTCTTTAAAATTCATACTCTTTTTTTTGCCATTGATAAAACTGCAAGATTCTTTAGTGTACTCTGTGAAACTTTAAAAGTATTCAATTTAAATTGTATGTAATTTTATGATAATCAACTTTTGATGTGTTTAGTTATGTAGTAAAATATTTTTATATAATTTGTAAATAAAATAGTTAAGCATTTTAATTTTGGGTTCTTAGTAATTTGAATGAATACATTACCTAAAATAATAGACTGAATAGCCTAAACATTCTCATCAGTACTAGTTTTGTACTGTTGCATTATTGAATAGTTTCATCTTTAAATTTAGATTCTTGAAGACCTGGATGAACAAGTTTACATTATTACCCTAGAGGAAGAAGCACTCCAGAGACGACTAAATGGTATGCGTGTATTATGTATTTAGACCAGTATATAAAAATCTAGTTAAAAGAAGACAGATAATTGAAGGGAAAAAATATAAACCTCTCAGTGTCTTGTGCTGCTGTGAGAGGTGTAGACTTAAGAGTAAGAAGGTAACTTCCCCAGTGAAGGAAGGTTGGCCGAAGGCCCTGGCTGAAGTGGGCTGTGATCTAGCAAGGGCAGCTCTTTTTTGAGACATTGGCCCCTGAGGGACTAGGCATGCGTTTACTACCAGCCCCTCCTGTATCTCAAAGCATGTGACTTGCAGTTACTGAGGTGTTGCCGATTTGCTTGTTGTCATAGTGACTATAATATCCCTACTTCATTTTCCTTCTATTGAAGTAACTTAAGGTAAAAAGTAGTGTGTTTCTTTGATCCTAAGGTACCAAATTTGGCTCTCTAAGTTTCACTTAGGAACTCTGTTATTATTTGGGAATATTGTTAATTATCAGCTGCTAACCAAGTAAGCATGTCAAAGATTTTAAAGATTAATTTTTAATTACTGCTCATTTGTGGCCTCAAATGAAGAACCAGCGAAGAAAAGTGTAATCGTGTAGTTTAACAAGAAATGACATAGTTTAGGTAGATTTTCTTTAATTTTACGTAAGTAATTTTCACCCTGCACTCTTTTCTCTCGTTAGTCTTTTTGAAAAAAATGTTGAAACCTGCCCCCCCCCCCCCCCCCCGC